TTGGATGCAAGTGGCCTGTGGAGTTTGCGGACGGTTTCTCTCTTGCTGCTAAGGAATGATTTTGTTATTCATTATATAAGTTTTTAGATTTTCAAAGTATTTGAATTAACTTTAACTCTGCTTACAAAAAGGTTGCACAACTAAATATTAATTTGTGTGTAATAAAAACAGCAGATGGAGTTTGGACAGTTGCATAAATATTTACTATAATACTACACTTTAGAGGTAGTAATATAATTACTAGAGATGCACCAAAATATTGGCCCAAAATTCAGCGGTCAGGATGCCAAGCGGTGCAGGGCTGTAACAGTTGTCATCCTTAAAGGAGGCAGAGCTCTCCTCCCATATCTCCCGGCTCTGCCTCCTGTGTCAGGATGGAGAGCGGTGAGTGGAGAAGAGCGCAGTGATCTGTCACAGGAGGTGGAACTCTGCGCCCGCACCTCCCGTCAGAATGGAGAACGGTGAGTGGAGGAGAGCGCTGTGATCTGTCACAGGAGGAGAAGCTCTCCTCCCATACAGCCTGCTCAGCCCCCTGTGACAGCCAATTCAGGATGGAGAGCGGTATACAAACTCTCAGCAAATAGCCAATCGTTGAGTGTTTTAAAATAACTGGACATATTATGCTTACTATGTCCCAGTTATGAATGAATGGGAAATGATCTACATAACTTCCTGTTCACTCATGAGTGTGGACATAGTAAGTATACTATATCCATAATGTATGAATGAACAGGAACACTCCTTTTCTTTTTTCTACCTTACTGCTGGGGGCTCTGGGGAAATAGGAGTCTAAACAGTCCCCTGATATTTCCCTTTTAACATTAAAAAAAGACAAGAGTCCTTAATCTCTTTTTTTTCAACCTCCCCAGACTTTGCTACTTATGAATATGATATGGAACCCCCGCAGATTCTAGAACCTGTACATGGCATCTTAATTTCTGTCCAATTTGAAATCGTGCCCTTCTTCCGGTTGGCACTAAGCTATGTTTCCTCTTATTGAAATGTCAAACACCAGAGCCTCCATTGCCCACTGCGAAGTCTAAGCCCCTTGCACAGCCTAGGATTCAACGTGACTCCACTAGGAATTAATTTGAAGACTAAGGAAGGTACACAATGAAGGGTTGCAAAACTAACGATTATTTTCATAAATTGTTGGCTGATTGTTATTTCTGCACCGCCCTGCTCCTGGCTTGGCCCTGGCACTGCTCTCTCCTCCCAACTGGGCGCCAGCAGGTGAATTGGCACTGTGTCCCCTTGGATCCCCGCTGCTTCTCCTAATACAGGTGTTGAGGAGCAGCGGGGAAACAGACCGCAGCATGCAGCGGGCTCCCAGTACGGAGGAGCGAGTTGCAGAGCGACAGGAGCAGAGCCAATACGGTGGCGGGGGAGGGAGGTTTGGGGGAGCTCTCCTCAATGCTTGCCACAGGGGTCTGTGCCTTTCTGATCCCTGCTGGGAGCAGCAGGGATAAGAGGGGACACAGAGAATGAAACACCAGCTCCCAGCCTGGAGCAAATAACTAGAGGATCCAAACCAACTAAATCGATAATAAAAATCTGACATGACAACGATTAATCGATTAGATTAATTAGATTGATTTCAGCCCTGCACCAGTGTACCTGCACTTTAGGATTGTTGTTATATTAGAAAAGTTTGAGGCCAGGTTAAGTTAAATTTGACTTTACTGAAGCATAGAAAGGTCCTATCAATATTACGCAAGGTCCTATCAATATTACGCAATGTGGATATATATATATA